AGGAAATAATAAATTATATATTGTCTAAAGTGAGAACCAAGAAAAAGAGAAAATGTAAAATCCATGCAGATGATCTAGTTTGGAATTCTTACTAGGACCTAAGAGACTTTCTAACTATTTGAAACACTTCATATTCACTCGCAAAAAATACGTAGTTACCCGGGCTTATGTGATTTTCGTAATTTCCTCGCAAGCATCGGGCTTCCCAATGTTCATCCCCATTGCCTATTAAAGCTAAATCTGAACCAAAGCACGGACCATAATCTACGCATTGAAAAATGGCTTGCCTCGTTTCCCTCACTTTACTATATATTATGTTGTTAAATTGTTCGTTTCCAAGTGAAAAAATAAAGCTCTTCCTTGTCTTGTTAAAAACCCCATCTGCATGGGCTTCCCAATTTAAAGGATTAAAACCTCCAAGAAGCTCACCTAATTTAGATCATTGCATAAGTTAATACAAAGACCAATCTAAAAAGCAATTGCAACATCAAGAAATTTACCAGAGTGATGAACTTTTAAGATTGTAACACTTGGGCCCTTCAAATCGCACTTCTCATGAAAAATTTTTGGGCCGAATCCATCACGACTTCCACGGACAAGTAAATTAAATTCAAAAGGAATAGTGTGAGGTTGAATGTTACTATCATTAACTATCCAGCCACAAATTAAAGCAGCCTGTTTGATTGTAATCAACTTTGAATTAATACCCTGACTACAAGTTTGAAATAAAGTGGCAGTTGCTGTGTTTAGTTGAGATAGATGATGTTCCCAAAGTTGTGCAAAAGAATCATTACTAAATGATTGTTTAAAAGGACGAACTTTCTTGTCGAATTCGCTAGGACTAATTAGAGCAAAATTGATATGTGGAATAAAAGGTGAAACAATATTTCCGAAAGCGTTGAAATCATCGAAAGTCCATAAATCAATATCCTTTGTAAGTGATATGTTTTGGGCTATTGACCATTCAACCAACTTTTCCCACAACTCTATTTCTCGCATGATAAGAAATTTCTTTTTAAGAATTGATATTAGAGTGCTTTGATCTATGTTAATGAAATCTTCAGCTTCAAAAACTATAGACGGATCTTGTTCCATGGTATTAATACAAAATGCTAGTAACTTTTTAAATTGGCCATGTTGTGTAGCAAAATGATATACTAATGCAAAATGATTCAGCAAGTCTTCTGGATTATTAAGAATATGATCTTCAATATAGTCAAATAACTCGGTCAAACATAGTTCTTCAGCAGCCGTGAGAACGTCAATATTAAATTCTACATCCTTTTCTGGTAGATCGATCGAAGCACCATATATATACCTAAGAAAACCATTATGTTAGGCTTAGAAATTAAAAATACATAAAAACTTAAGGATTAAGACATTATAAACAGTACTTTAATATTATTTCAAATACACTTGGAGATACGTTTGGTTTGTTAAAGATCAGTATATTGCCATCAGATTTAGCCCAATTACTTGATAAAGCCGCTCGGAAATACGTTGATCGAGCACGTAACACGAGAGAATGTACCTTAAATTCTCTGGTATCAAGTTCTTGGCCAGCATGAATGATCATATCAAAATGGTCACCAGATTCTAAAAGTGAGGTATAATGGCGAGACAAGATATTTAAAAAAACTGTCGACATTATGGTATAACGTTCAAGAAAATCAAGAGAGAAAATTTTTGGTGAGGCTGTAACATGATATACAACTTATGTAATTTATATTGGTGCCGATTAAGACCACGTGTTCCATAACATAAGCCAATTTTCATCTGCAACACAAATTTACATACATGAACTTATTATCGTAATGTATCTGCTCTCAAAAAAAGAAATGTAGGTATAATGATATCTGATACGTACGTACGTACGCAGCTGAAGAAAAATTATCGAAAATAATATAATTTTCTTAAAATGCATTGTTCATCGCTCGGAATAATAATAATATATAAATATTAATATCAAATAACTATAACCTCCAAACTGATAATATGATATTTAGTACTGATACATAGAAACATAGAACTATGCAATATTCCCAGTCCTGGTCGGATTATGGGTGGCATTAACAAATACAAATCAATTATATCTATAGTAAAATTATCATGCATTTCTACTTGACAAGAAGCAGTAGGCTTTGCTATAACTTCATTACGTACATAGCAAAATTTGAATGATTCAGATATGGAAATTCAGTGATCGTTCTTTATGAGTCATAAAAGAAAAATTAGCAATTTTGAATAACGATAGATATCAATATGCATGTTACCAAGGGACCTATTTTGATATAAAATTTTAATTTTTTTTAAGGTTGGGTTAGGATTTTGAACTAGAATTATAATTAAAATATATACCGTATGTGGATTTTAGCAGAACTTATATTTTCAAATTGAGATCCCAAATTTTAGTGTTAGCCATGATATTAATTATGCTAGTTAATAGCCTCTTGAAATGAATCCAGCATGAATAAATAAGATAAGTTAAAACTAAACAAATCAAATAATATGTCAGATTTCAAGATAATATTGTTGATTTTTTAAATAACAATATTACTAGACTTAGTATTCAAATAGTTAAGAAATATGTTTATACAATTTATAATATAACAAAAAAACTTTATTTATTGTCAATATAATAAAAAAATTTGTTGATATATTGTCAATACAACAAAAATATTGTTAATTTAATATTAATATTATTTTAAGAATAAAATAAATTATAATTAATAGTTTATAAATAATAAATATAAGTTTATTAATTAAGATAATAACCAAAGAAACAATACAAATTTAACAAAAAATACAATAATTTACTTAAGAAAATAATATAAAAATAAATAAATAAAAATTATTTTTAATAAAGATTTAATAACAAATAAAAAAATAATTTATTTCTAATAATAAAATAATTAAATATATTGTTAAAATAACTAAATACAAGAAACAACCTTTTATTTAACTTAAAAAATAATAGGATTTAAATATTATTTTTAGACAAATTAATTTACTATAAATTTAATAATAATTATTTAAAAATAAATATTTTTTATTAGTAAAAAAGCATTTTTTAATTATAGATAAATATTTTAAAATAATAAATAAATATTTTTAGATAGTGAATAGATATTCTAATATAATTAAAATTAGAAATTAGATATTTTTAATTAAAAATAAAAACTTTTTAATATAATAAAGAGTATTTATTTTTGGTGCACCCTGCATTTGGTACACTTTTCTTTGAAATTTCAAAATTTTACTGTGATAACCCTGTTGTGTAACTAACAAAAAATATTCTTTATAAAGTTTTTACTCTAATTTAACCTTAATTCTAACTCTAACTTTAACTCTAACTCTAATTTAATTCTTATTTATATTGATTTTGCTATAGTTTGCTATAGAGTATACCATGGTGCACCCTGTACCAAATATAAATTCTCTATAATAAAAATATTTTTAATCTAGTAATAATTTATAGTTTTTTGTTATATATATATTGCCTGTTTGTTTAAAGCTTCTTTTTATACTTACAATAGTATTTTTAATTAATAAAATTTTGCTAATCAACTAGCTATTAACTATGGTTGTGATTAATTAATTTTTTATTTTGATAATTAAATTTATTAATTAGTTAATCAAACTAAAAAATTAATATAAATTAGCTTAGAACCTCTTTTTGCTAATCTTCTGTATACAACTTATAAAAATAAAAATTAATAATAATTAATAAAAATATATAAAGGCTATTAAGCAACAACTCTTTCTAACAATCACTCGTATACAAACAAGCAAGAAACAAAAACAGCCAGAACTCAACAAATATATTAAAAAATATTTAATGAGACATTAAGGAAAAAGAAAAAGCAACAAAAACAATAGATATCTAGCTTAGAAACAAACAAGATTGAGTGTATAACAAGCAAGTTAGTTAAAAAAAAATGAAATTTTCAAAAAAATTTTTTAGAAAACATTAGCAAAAAATATAAATAAAAATTTATAAAAGAATTTGCGATACTAAAATTATTGCAATCGATGCAAAATATTTTAAAAAAAATAATTTTGAAAAATTTTAAAAAATATTGTGAAATATTGTAAAAAATATTGCAATAAATTGCGCAAGATACAATAATATAAATGTTTGAAATATTTTAAAATATTTTGAAATATTTTGAAATAAATCAAAAAATTTCAAAATATTTTGAAATAATTCAAACATTTATATTATTGTATCTAATGCAATTTATTGCAATATTTTTCGCAATATTTCGAAATATTTTAAAATATTTCAGATTAAGCTATACAAAGTTAATTTTTTGGTTCTTATAATATAAAATTTGAAGAATAACCTGACAATCTAGCTTTTAATTTTATTTTCAAAAAATTTTATATATAAAAAGTATATAAAAATTTTTATAAACTTCTAAAAAACTTCACCCAGATAGTAAATATAGTCAAAAATTTTTTTAAAAATTTTGCGAAATTTGACCTGGTCAGGTTATGAGAACCAATTTATTAAGTTTGTATAATCTTATATTAAAAATATATAAAATTATAATATTAATATAGCTAAAATAATATATAATATACATATATATTTATTTTATAAAATATATTTTACTTTATTATATATTTATTACTACATATTATATAATTATTATATAGTTATTATTAAATTACAGTCAAGTTGAGATAGCAAATTTTTGCATAGCAACTTTATTATATATTTATTACTACATATTATATAATTATTATATAGTTATTATTAAATTACAGTCAAGTTGAGATAGCAAATTTTTGCATAGCGAATATTTTGAAATAACAAAAAGTTTTTGCATTATAAATATATTAGAACATGTAAATTTATCTTCTAATAGCTGAATATTTTTTATAGCGAAAGCATTAGGTCAGAGTGTGGACTTCGATATGTTGAGCTTTATAACTACTAAAAACTAAAACTGATACTATATTTAACTTATTTTCATATTCAAATTTTAAACCTGGGTTCAATACATCATTCCTGGCAAGAAACCTCTAAAAAAGAAGAAAATATTAGTAAAATAAAGAAAAAAAAAAATAAGAAAACAAAAAAAAAACTGGTACTTATCTTTGTACCAATTTCCGGTACCAAAATTCTAAGCTGATTTTAAAATTTCAAGTCTAGTTCTACTACATCTTCCTGGCAAAGCGAAAGTCTGAAAAGAAGAAAAACTTTAGTAAAAAGTGAAAAAAAACAAAACAATAAAAAAAAAGACTAGTACTTATCATTGTACTTATTTCTGGTTATAGGATCTCAAATCTGAATTCAAGATCTCAAGCCTAGTTTCAATACAACAAAGACAACCCTTAAAAAAAAAACATTAGTAAAAAAAAAAAAAAAAAAAAAAGGAAGAAAACAAAAAAAACTGATACTTATTTTGTACCAGTTTCTGACTCCAAAATCTCAAGCTGATTTCAAGATTTCAAGTCTGGTTCTACTACACCTTCTTGGCAAAATAAAAGCCTGAAATGAAGAAAAACTTTAGTAAAAAGCAAAAAAAAACAAAAACAACAACAAAAAAAAAGACTAGTACTTATCATTATACTAATTCCTAGTTCTAGAATCAAACATCTGATTCCAAGATCTCAAGCCCGGTTTTAATACACAATTCTCAGCCAATGCACTTTTCTGACAAAGTAATATCCTAAAAAAGAAAAAAAAAAAAAATATTAATAAGAAACAAAAAAAAAAA